TAGTTTGAAATAGGGGTGAGCGCGATGCAGTTCGGTGCAGTTATTGGCCAAAACCTCACCACTAACCGCAAATGCGGTTAATCCATTTTCAAAACCGGTTGGTGCGGTTATTTTTGCGGTGCGGTTAGACGGTTATTTTTGCGGTGCGGTTTTGTTTTTGTGTGTTTCGGTTATTAACCGCATGGATTTGGTGCGGTTATTTTGTGTGGTTTTTAACCGCACTTTAGAGTTCAAACTGTTTTAAGAGTTTAAACATATTACTTGTAATAATAAAAAACCATAAGGTATAAAACAATTAACTTAAATTACAAAGAACTAATATCTTAAAAACTTTAAATCACCATTAATTAACAATAAATATCATAAAATTGTCAAATTTCACCATTTTCCAAAGTTAAACATACGAAAAAACCGACACTTTTGTCTTCTACAATTTTATCATTCTTTCATCCATGAAACTTGTCTTATTTTTAATATTTAATATATTAATAATTAATAAAAAAATTGTATATAATATATGTGGTGCAGTGCGGCTTTTTTGTGGTTTTTGAAACTAATAACCGCACCGCACCACAAATTTGCGGTTTTTGAAAAAACAGAGAACCTCACCATCGGTTTTTATTGCGGTTGCGGTTAATCGGTCGTGGTTTAAGCGGTTTTTACGGTTAATTTTAGTTGCGGCGCGGTTTTTGCTCACCCCTAGTTTGAAATAATAAGCTAAACAATTGACGGTCAAAATGGTTCTCCTTTTAATTCCTTCACGAAAATTTGCCAAAACTGTGATGTTTATTTATAATGGTTTTTCAATTTATTGTTGGGAGATGGTATTTCGATCGTTTATCTAATATAAATATGTCAACAAATTTAAAATAAATGAGTAAATTATATGTTTGGTCCCTTAGTGTTTACTTTAACTCGGAGCATCCGTGTGATATTCCTTATCAAATTTTTGGTCTTTGTCATAAGTTAAATGACTATGTGGCCTTATTTATTTCTTTTTTGTTTTTGTAAAAATATAAATAGGCCACCCTTTCCCCATCCAAACCTCTTCTCCAAACTTGAATAAGTGAGACCTCTCATTCACTTCTCTCATTTCAATAAACCCTAAATAATTGGACAACCATCACAGGGAACAACCAACAACAGTCAACTTCGATAATCAACACCATTCACCTTCGGCAAGACCTCATCGCCACAACATGGATAAGGGTAGGGGTGGCAATTGTTGACACGACACGAAACGAAATTGGGACGAAACTAAAATTCAAATTTGTGTTCATGTCAAGTGTAAAAAACACGATGTCGTGTCGTGTCGTGTCGTATTCGTGTTCAAAATTTGACACGAAATTGACACGATTTAACATTTATTTGTCGTGTTTTTCGTGCTATGTATGATTAAATATTAATTAAATAAACTAATTGCTATATTATGTTATTTTTTTCGTGTCGTGTCGTGTTTGTCGTTTCTTAATTAGTTCGTTTTCGTGTTAGTTGAAAAAAAAAACACGACATCGTTTCGTGTTACATAAAATATTATCGTGTTGTGTCGTGTTAGACAAAAACACGATACGATGATCCGATTTGCCACCCTTAGATAAAGGTCATCAATAAACCCATCTCCACCTATCTCTTGTGTACAATAACATCAACATCTACATCTCGCATCCCTTCTTGTCCATGTAACCCTCCGCCTCGGTGTGAATCGTTGGTCATTGACAACCCCATTACCGCCCATTTTTCGACCACTCCTCTTTCTTACTCCCCCCTTCGTCTTCCACCTTTCTTGTAACAAAATGGGTTTAGAATCTAGATATCCAACAATCCCAAACGCTGAAGAAATTTGATTCGTTGTCCTTTTGGCAAGGTTCCTACTAGATTTTTCTGGAGTTGATCCCTAAGTATTTGATTTCAATGTATGGGATTTTCTCTGGATATTCTTTTAAATATCTCTGGATTTAATTTAACTATAATAACACCCCAAGTTCATGTTTCTTTGAATTTGATTTATAGGATTTTTGCAATTTTGATTTTTCTAGATTTAATATTTCAGGTTTCTTTTCATCTTTTAACACAGAGGGGAGAAAAAGAAGGTGGAGGTTGGGTTATGGTATTTTTGCTTTGATTTTGCTTTTTTTTTTTTAAATATCTAAAACGTATAGATGTATATCACGAGATAATGTCCAAAGATATTGGGCGGAGATAATGGCCAATATTGAGGAAGGAAAGACACATGATTTCGCTTATTTCATAAAATGAAAAAGGGTTAATGTCATAAAAACCCTCAAGTTTACAGGGTTTTGTCGGTTTTGCCCAAAGTTGAAATTTATGTCCGTTTTTACCCAAACATTTTCGAAAAAATGTTCGATTTTACCCTTTTACCGGTGATAACAGGTTTCCAGGTTACCATTACATAGGGTAAAAGTGTTAAAAATTTATAAACTTAAGGGTAAAAACGTAAAAAAGCTGTAAACTTAAGGGTTTTTTTGCGAAGTTAATATAATGGTAACCTGTTATCACCGGTAAAAGGGTAAAACCGAACATTTTTTGGAAAATGTTAGGGTAAAAACGGACATAAAATTCAACTTTGGGCAAAACCGACAAACCCTGAAAACTTGAAGGTTTTTATGACATTAGCCCAATAAAAAAACAATGTAGACTCATTTTAATGTTAATAAATTATAAGTAATAAATAATAAATAAATTAGAAAATAAATAAATAAAAGCAATATAGTCATTTACGTATGACATGACCGAAAATAAAATAGAAAATATCAAAGAGATGATCCGAATTAAAAAATAAATACTTAGAAACCAAACAAACATATTATTCCGCACTATGCATAAAAACCATTTATCCAATCTATTCTCTATAAAGTTATTTAAAGACTAAGACTATGTTTGGCGTAGAAGCTGAAAAACTAGTTATTAGCTGAAATGTTAGCTGATAACTGAAAAACTATTTGTTAGCTGAAAAACTAACTGATAGCTGAAAAACTAGCTGTTAAATAAAAATCTAACAGATAGCTAAAAAGCTAGCTAATAAAAAATGTTGTTTGGTAAAACTAGCTGAAAAATATAAAATGACTTAAAAGGACATTTAAAAGAATATGTTTATATAATTAATTAAATGGTATATTTCAAAAAAATTTTAAAAACTCCTAAAAAGCTAATCTAACTAGCTTTATAAAAACTAGCTTATAAAATACTTTTGGTTGCCAAACATGACAATTTAAAAAAACTCGAAAAATAAACAAGTTTATCAGCTAGATGTGGCGCGTCAAACACAACCTAAAGTGGTTAAAATGTTTTGCTCTCTTTAGGTCTGCTTTCAATCTTTTATGAAACCTTTTTTTCAAAATTTTATTTTTCTTTATAAGTAATTAATGAAATTTGTAGGGATCGAACACAGACCATGTGTGTTACTATTATTTTCTTTTTAAGTTCCAAAAAAAACTACTTTTCTTAAACCGATTTCATGATTATAATATATTTTACGCAATGATATTATTTTCCACAAATTTTCTTTTGATTTATAGTAAAAAAAACAAAAGATGTAGGGATCAAACGCACATCATGATCCATAAGGCTATAAGGAGTGCGCATGTTAAGGCTCTCGCTAAACCCTCGCTAACTTCGCTATACACCACCCCTAGGTTCTCGCTATGGGGTACGCCAAAGAAGACTCGCTGCCTGAACAACGAGAAGAAAGAGAATAGATAAAGAAAAGAATTGAGGGTTTGATTAATCTTGATTGGTTGCTTTTTTTAATACTGCCGCTTTATGTGAGATACGTGGCCATTTGCAAACCAAACTTCCAATAGTTTGTTTATCATTTATTATTATTTTATTTAGAATAAGAAAACATACCAAACTTTCAATTGTTTGTTTAAATAAGTATTAAATAAATAATCATATATAACCTATAAAATAAAATGTATTAATTCATTAATAGATGTTTGTTATGGATTGTATATTAAATTATTAAGTTATTTTGGGTTTAAAAAACTACAACCTAAAATTTGAAAAAAATAAAAAAAAAGTGTTAGGAGTGTTACCACTACCTATCAAATGCTAAGAATTAAGTGCTAAGAAGGAAAAATGATGTGACACTCAAAAAACTGATGTGACAAAGTGCTAGGAGCCTAATAGTGTTACCACTCCCTTTAGCCTAAGAAGCATATGCCTTAACCATGTTTGTTGCTGTTATTTTATTTTGAACTATAAAAGAAATACATATTTTAAACCGATTTTGCGATCTTTTTATATTTTGCATAATGATATTATTTTTCAGCGAGCTGACATCACATCTCAAAAATATGTCATATTCACAAAGATTAATAAAATTCACAATGTTTGTTGTTAAAAAAAGTTAGGTAAAATTATCGTTTTTTAAATATTGTCTAAAAGTTATGTTACAAAGTAAGCTAATGGCTAAAACTATGCTTATTTTAGTTAATAACTCTTTAAAAAATTTATGATGAGCTTGATATAAACTCTTTCTCAAAGACATGGGGTGAGACTTACACATGTATGGGGTTTATTTAGAATTGGTTACTCAATATTTGATTATTTCATTTTTAGAATTTAGATGATACAAGTAAAAATATGTACTTTTAAAATGAATAAAGAAAACTTTTGGCGGTTTTAATTTCCCGGGAAGTTCTCAAATGAAAGAACGTCAGGGGACGAGGAAAAGGATGGACGCTGGTCGTTGGTCCATGGGTCCGACTTTCTCCGTCTGCACGGCGTTCCTCCTCCGTTCCACCACCGATCTTTCTCCGTCCACCACTCGCATACCTCCCTTGAGTCCCTTCCATGTTCATAACCTTTTCTCAATGGATTGTCGATGTTACTGCGAAGAATTATACCAAAAATTATGTGCAGAAAACCCTTGATTTTGCTGTTTTGATTTCTTCCCCCAAGAGGCTGCCGGAGAAATCATCCATCAACAACAAGCCAACAACGAGGACGACGACGAACAACAATAGCAAACTGATTATATGATTCCTGTACCGCCTTCCGATGAACCTTTTTACCCTTTTGGCGATTTGGATTTGGATCTATCTGACTCCGAGCTCCGTGAAACCGCCTACGAGATCTTCGCCGGGGCTTGTGGAATCCCCGGCGGTGGTAGGCTGCTGAGTTACGTTTCTCATTCAGGGAGATTATTCGATTGGATGCCACCAGGCCCTTCTTTTCAGCGGTCATTAACATTCTCGATCGGAAGCAAGGTGAAAAGATCATTGGGTTTAAATTCTCCGAAGAAGAAAAAGGGTTCAGGTTCTGCTCCGGTGAGTCCAGTGAACAAGACAAATCGGCATCCAACAATTGGTGAGATGATGAGAATTCAGATGAAGATTTCGGATGAAACCGATTGTAGGGTTAGGCCTGCGTTACTGAAAATCGCTGCTGAACTGGTAATCAATTCAATTCCTCGAACTACCTTCTTCTTTCTTTCTTCCATCATATACATTCATGTTCTACCAATTTTCGAGATTCAAGTTAATAAAACCAACATTTTGCAGGTTGGCAGGAGAATCGAATCAATAGTTTTACCCGTAGAACTTTTACACCAGTTCAAATCTTCCGATTTCCAAACTCAACACGAATACAACGAATGGCAAAGAAGAAATTTCAAAATACTTGAACTCGGATTATTGCTTCACCCCAAAATACCCCTCGACAAGAATGATTCATCTGCTCAACAACTCTCCAAAATCATACACACTGCTTATGAACATCACATGGTGACTGGAAAACACAGTGAAGAAGTTAAAACCCTTCGTGGTGTAACAAATCAGCTTGCTTGTAGATCAGGTGATGATTCCGAAATGTGTCATTGGGCAGATGGGATTCCATTGAATCTTCGGCTTTACCAATTCCTTCTTGAATCTCTTTTCGACATTGAAACCCCAACAATTATAATCAACGAAATCGATGAGATGTTAGAGTTCATAAAAAGGACTTGGGGTATTCTCGGAATTAATCAGAGGTTCCATAATCTTTGTTTCTTGTGGGTTTTATTCAATCGTTTTCTTTCCACAGGGCAAGTTGAAAACGATTTGCTTCTTGCTTGTGCTAATTTGTTGTTGGAAATTAAGGAAGATGCAGATTCTGATTCTGATTCTGATTCTGGTTTTAGTACTCAGTATTCCAAGATCTTGAATTCTACTTTAATGTTTATTTTTAAGTGGGCTGAGAAAGGGCTTTTTGGGTATCGTGAGTTTTTTTATAGAGGCAATGTTGACTTGATGCATATTGTTTTATCGATTGGGTTATTAGCAGATGAATTAATGGTAGAAAAAAGTTCATGTGATGATGATATGAGGAAAATAGTTTATGAAGCAAGTGGGAAAGTTGACACTTACATCCGATCATCAATGAAAATGGCTTTTAGTCAGGCAAGTTTTCGCCTTTTCACAATATTCTTGAAATATTGCTTATTTGTCATGTTAGAATGCTTACATGTAGAGGTGGCAAAATGGGCGGGTTGGATAATGGGTCAAACGAATCATGATGGGTTGACCCATCAACACTATTTTGCTCCATGTTTAAATAACTAACCCTAAATTGGCTTTTATAACAATGTTGATTTCAAATAACCATTAAACTTTGCACAATTCTTAAAAAATATAGTACTTGAAAATAATGATAATTTTTACTCACATTGTTTGTGTTTTTCTATTTTGACCTTATTTATTTATGCTAAAAATCATTTGATCATTGCTAAAATATATAAAATAAAACCATATTTAACAAATTGACTACCTTTCTACCTTTTAACAAAAATAACCACCAATTTCTTTACGAATGGTCCCCGCCATGAAAAACATTAAATTTATTTGAAAATCAAATCATATTTTGTAATTATATTGCAAACTTATTCATATTTAGTGTAATGATGATTTTATTTCACAAAAGAAAAAGATATGTTGTCAATTTGCAATCGACACGTTGTGAAATATATGGTCATTTTGTTAAAAAGTCAAAAAGCCGGTCAATTTACTAAAATGTAACCACCGATTTTGGTTATTTTTGTGATAATCCCTTCTATTCTTAATACTCAATCATTTAATCACGCCGATTATATCAATCTTGACATGATTTTATTTTTTTAAATTAGATAATGGAAAAGTTAATGACAAGTAGGAAATCAACAAAACGACAACAAACTAATTTCAATCAACTTCCCGCTCTATGTGTAATCGCCCAAGAAATTACCGATTTAGCCTTCACCGAAAAGGAGATTTACAGTCCAATACTAGCAAAACACCATCCCCTTCCTGTCGGTGTGGCAGTTGCAACTCTTCATTCTTGTTTTGGTCAACAAGTCAAAGCATTCATTTCAAGTATTACCGATTTGACCCCAGATGTTATACAAGTCCTCATAGCTGCTGATAAGATGGAAAAATGTTTAGTACAAATGTCTGTTGAAGATTCTTTTGATAGTGAAGATGGTGGAAAGTCAATAATTCAAGAAATGAGTCCTTATGAAACAGAGATTGTGATTGCTGATTTGGTCAAATCTTGGATTCAAACAAGAGTTGAAAGACTTACTCAATGGGTTCATAGCAATTTAAAAAAAGAGGTATGATTTCTTTTTCTGTTAGGTGGCGTTTGGTCAGCAGAATATTTCTGAAGGAATTGGAATCCAATTTCATATTCTGTTTGGTCGGCAGGAAATGATCTTGAATCCAATTCCATATGCTGTTTGGCTGACAGGAAATGAAATTTGAATCCAATTCTATATTTTGTTTGGCTGACAGCAAATGAAAATTGAATCCAATTCCATATTTTGTTTTGGCGGAAATGAAATTTGAATCCAATTCCATATTCTGTTTGGTCGACAGGAAATGAAATTTGAATCCAGTTCCATATTCTGTTTGTTTGGCTGATAGGAAATGAAATTTGAATTCAATTCTATATTTTATTTGGCTGATAGGAAATGAAAATTGAATCTAATTTCATATTCTCTTTAGTTGGTAGGAAATGGAATTGAAATATGTAAAATGACAGAATTACCCTTCTTGTTTTTTTTTTGCTTAATTTTATTTTAAAAAGATATAGCAACGTAACTTATTTGTGTATTATGACAATCCTATTTTAACTTATTTAACTATTACTATTCATTTCTTCTTTTATATAGGTGTGGAACCCAACAGTAAACCAAGGGCAATTTGGTCAATCTGTGGTGGAAGTTTTAAGAACAACTAGTGAAACATTGGAAGCATACTTTTTACTACCAATACCCCTCCATGCAGCTTTACTACCAGATTTAACAAATGGTCTCGATAAATCCGTTCAAGATTACATTTTCAAAGCAAAATCCACTTCAGGTAAATATTTTTTACAAAAAATTTCAATCTTTATATACAATTCATGTTCTTAGCTATTCTTTCCCCTTTACAGGAAGCCGAAACAAATTTCTTCCAAAAATACCCTCGTTGTCACAAATGGCTGAAAATAGAACAACAGAAGACGATTATGATTATGATTATGATGATGATTCTTGTGGTATACTACAATTATGTGTTCGTGTTAATACTTTTATCTACATTCGTAACGAATTACAAATTTTCCAAGAAAGGGTAGTCGCACAATTGAGAAGCACTGGAAGTAGAACAACTGACGAGGGCAATATTGTCAATTACTATAAAATTAGCTTCAACCTATCTTTAACCGCTTGTGAAGACGGGATTCAAGAACTCTGCGAGGTAACCGGATATAAACTCGTATTTCATGAATTAAATCATGTTTTTTGGAAGGGTTTATACATCGATGGAGCTTCATCTTCAAGAATCGAACCTTTTTTAGAAGAATTGGAAGAGAATCTTGAAAAAATAACGGGAATTGTACACGACGATAGCGTTAGAACAAGGGTAACGACGGAAATTATGAGAGCTTCATGCGACGGGTTTTTGTTGGTTTTGCTTGCCGGAGGTCATTCTCGTAATTTCACTCCTCAAGATTCCTTCAACATACAAGAGGATTTCCATCTTCTCGTCGATCTTTTCTGGTCTCATGGCGATCGATTGCCGACGGAATTGATAAGCAAATTCTCGGCTCCGGTGGAAGGTATTTTACCCCTTTTTGCAACCGACACCGAAACCCTAATCCAGCAATGTAAGGCTTTAGCGGTGGTTAAGGGTGGCCGTTTGCCGGAGGCCGGCGAGTGGGATCGGAACGACCCGAATACGATCTTGAGAGTGTTGTGTCATCGTGACGATAGGGTTGCTTTTAAGTTTCTTAAGAATAATTTTCATCTCCCGAAGAACGTTTGATGTATAGATGATCGTGTTGATTAATGATTCTGATAGGCGGCGAACGGCGGCAGTTGTACATATAAAGTTACCGGATTTGTGGTGGTTCTGGTGAACCACCGTGACAGGTTTATTCCATTTTTTTTTCTTATTGATATAATCTATTGATCGTGTATTCGTTTGGCAACAAGGTTGATGCTAACATTTAATCATTAATGAAGTAGAAAATGTTATTAGTGTATAATTTATCTGGATATTCCATAATGGAGTCCAAGTATTCCCAGTTTAGACTATCGAAGGCCTTTTTGAAATATACTTTGAAGAAAAAGACTTTGTTCTTGTTGAAAACATCGATCGTATTGAAAAAGTGGTAGAAACTAGACCATTATCAAATCAAGAAAAACATTACAATTTAGCTTGGAATATAGATATCCTGATCCTATACCTGTAGAGACTTTAAAGTGTATCTATCTCAAATAAAATGGAGAATCGAAGGCGATAGGAAGTTCACATTTTTTTTCATGGTTTTATCAATAACAACACATATCGAGTAAGAATGAATGGCTTGGTCATTAACAAAAATTGGGTTACCTACACCATCCAACATCAAGGATGAAGTACTTCGACTTTTCTCATCAAAACTCAAGGAAAATCCATCCTCGAGACCCAAGTTGTGTAGTTCTTTATTCAAAAGTCTTTCACCTTGTGATGCCTCATTCCTTGACTCATCCTTCTTGGTTTTGGAAACAAAAGAAGCTAGATGGGTTTATGGAAATAAAAATGCATTTGGTCAAGAAGGATTCACATTCAAATTCTTGAAACAATTATGGCATTGGCAAGGCTAGGTATAAGGAAGGTGGGTCCTAGGACCCACCTAATTTTTTTAATTTATCAAAACTTTCTATACAAATTTTTTAGGGATTTATCTTAAAAAAAATTAGGACCTACCTTACCTATAAAAATCTTTGAATTTGTATAGAAAAAAATATATAGAAAAATTAGTGATTTTCTACTCTAGACTCGCCACTGTTGGAACTCCTTCAAGAAGATTTAGTTTATGTTTTCAGTGAATTTGAATTCAATGGGTAGATTAGTAGGGGTTGTAACTCAAGATTTTTAACCTAAAATATCCTCTTACACGTGATCAACATCTAAGTATACTTAGATGCATATACAAAAATAATTGTATATGACCTCAATAGACTTAAAAGCAAATCCGGTCACAAATGGAGTATAGTTCTCTTTGGAGATGTTGGATTAGAGGTTGTATCACCTCCGGTTGAATGTCCATTTTAGTGAACGGGTTCCTCAACAAAAGAATTCAACTGCCAACGAGGCATTTGATAAGTATACCAACTCTATATATTCCTCTTTATCATATTCATGAAAGGCCACTATATATGTGGTTATGTCTAAAACATGTTCACTCGGTATATTTCACGCCTTCAAAAATCCTTAAAATGTTATATCACACATTTTCTATGATGACTATGCAATTTCTATTGGTGAATAGACATATATTAACTTCTCCAATCTTGCTAGGATCCTTAGGTGCTTTTAGTTGACATTGGGTTTAAAGGTAAACTTCTTAAAAAAGCAAGGTGTATGCAGGGGCGGAGCCAAGATTTTGAAATAAGGGGGGCTTACATTATAATCAAAGGCGATATACAAGCACAAAAACTACAAGACCAAAAATAAAACTTCAAAACAATCCCAAACAAATACCCAATGTTTTCTTTTTTTTTCTAGATTGGTACTTGGTAATAAGATCATTAGACGTAGGGTATATTCATCGAAAACAATCTAGTAGGCTAGTAGTTCATCGTGATCTTGAAAAAGCTTGCATGTTTAACAAACCAAAATAACAATTGAAAAGAATTGATTTATTGATACAGATATAGTTTTCTTCCTTTTTATCTATATGCAAACAGAAGCGAAAGTAGCAAAATTTTACAACAAACTTGAAAAGAATTGATTTATTGATACAGATAGTGAGCAGCGGCTACGATATGCCTATGCCTGGTAATTATTTAGGGTTTTAAATTTTATAGGATTGAGTTATGAAGATATAAATTAATACCAAACTTGTTTTTTTTTTGTTTTGTTTAAAAAGTTAATTAGTTTTAAATGAAGTTTACATGTTTCAAAATTTTAGAGATTATATTGGTGTTATTGTTATATTACTAGTTATTTGAAAGAAAAAAAAACTCGATGGCAATTACAACATAAAAAATAATGGGAGATGCTTTTGGGGTTTAGTGATCTCATATGGGCTTTGAATGGACAAGATGCAATACATAAATTAAGAGACTTAGGGGGGCTCAACACCCGCATGTCCCCCTATTGTCTCCGCCACTGGGTGTATGGCATTGTTGTCGTTGAAACTGAAATGGCCTCCATGACATGCGTATTATCATTTTAATCGACATCCTTCCCATTCATTTATTCAGGATTCCCCATTGATGCTAACATGTCGCTTGCCAAAAATTGGGAGTCCATCCTTATAAAATTCAAATATAGAATCTAGTCTTAGAAAACAAAATCTTTTAAATTGGGGGTTGACTCACTCTTATCAAATTGGTATTTGATAGCATAGTCCTTAAAAAAGACTAGGCAAAACTCAAAAGATCATTTGGGGCGGAATACCACTAATAACAAGATTTATTAGGTGTATTGGAATAAAATTCTAAGTCCAAAAGTAAATAATGGGCTTGTCGTTGGAAGCTTGAGATCAACAGATTGGAACTTCTAGTTAATTAGTGGTGGCAAATAAAATGTGAATCATCACACAATCTTTAGGCTAGATTCATTAAATCTTTACACTTTACAATCCGAACTAAGAAATTCGTGACTATCAAGCTAGGACTAAGGATCACTTTGAGGTCTATTACCAATGTTGGTTAGGAATTTTTCTATCTTGACATAAATGTGATTAACATGTTCGATAAGAAGGTAGTTTGTGGAGATAGAATCTATTGTGGCAGGATTGTTGAATTAGTTCTATCCTACCTTTCCAAAAAATCTTGAGCACCTCTACACTTGAGATGGAGAAAATATCTATTTGAATAAAGGAGTACAAATTCCAATGGTCCATGTTAGATTTGTAGAATACTCTCGTATAAATGATAAAAATATGTAGTCCTTGTTCTCCTGGTGTAATTTAAACAATGCGAGTTTGACCTATGTACCAAAATATCCTTCAAAAATGTTGTTAATATTGGGAATAAGGGATGCCTCTCAAACTTCTAGATGTGTTTTTCTATTGCTTAATGTGGATTTTATTTTTTTATGGAAGGATAGAAACGCCAAAATCTTCCAAAACAAAGTATCTTCACCACCTTTAATTCTAGAGGAATTAAAAGCAACATCATACATGTGGGTCAAAAATCAGGCAAAGAAACCTAACTTATACCGGTCATTATGGTGGTGAATATATGTTCATGGTACTCTAACTATGTGTGTTGTGTCTTTGTTCAATTCATATAACTCTTAGGTTGTTGCATTTAGGTACTTCTTTGGTTATGGTCACTTTCTTTTTGGTGTGTGATTTTGTTTTCGCTAAATAGATTATTGGATACAAGGTTTTTTTTTTTTCAATTCTATATAACATTATTTTCAAGTAGGGAACCAACTAGAGGTAAATCGTTAAGGATTGATGTTGACATATCCCTACAATAGTTTGGATATTTTTGGGTGCATACTTTTTATTCTTCTGTGTTGTGTTTGAATCAAGGATTGGAGATGTAACTTACCCTTATGTTATCTTTTCATGTACAATATCATTATTGCATGTAATGTACTGATCGATTGGGTTGGATGGGGGTAGGTATGTGATCAATCAATGTACAAATTATATACCATGTGCTCGTCATTTTGGATTTTTATAGTTTGGAAGTTTTCCACAATTTCTTCAAGGCATGTTGTTTAATTTTCATTTTCTATTTAACACTATTAGGTGTCTTCTTTCTCTTTCTATGTTATGTTTCATACTATTGCCAGTTACATGTTTGGCCTTTTAATTTCATTAATATCTCCTTGTTCTAAATAAGTATGTTGAAATTGATGAATCTAATGACGTGTTTTTCTAATCTACAAAGAATTAGAGATCTACCTTTATTTATGGGAATTCCATCTCTATGATCAAACCAAAAATCAGTAAATCACAATCCCATTGCTATAATCGGATACAATGGAGTCAGGTATGTCATCTTAGTATGTTTTTAAACAATGATCTGAAACTGACATTTTCCAGAATAACATTAACACATTTAATTAAACAAAAAATATCAGTTAGCAATATGCATCTACAGATGTGTGGATTATACAAAACATAGATCTAAAATCCGACAAAAATACAATTACTTCATGCTTACCAATTTCATATCATATAATAATGATTATAAAATATGATATTGGGTATGCGTAACTTTTTGAATCATGCACCAGGGCCTAAAAATTTTAAGGGCCCATAATTATTTTTGTACAACTAATATATATGTATACATATTTCTTGGTCGAACCCAAAAACTCCATAAAAAATATATATATATGAACATAAAGGATCTTAATTGAGCTCTTCATCTTGATTTTTAAGAAAAATCTCAATATTTATTTTTTTCTTATACCATAAATTCGAAAAAGAAAAAAAAATGTCAATCGTTTTTCAATTTTGATAATATGATTATGACTACAATTGAAATTATGGATTGTTATCTGGATGTTATCATTGCATTAAGGTTCTTATTGAAAATTCTTTGTTGGAACTTTGTAAATAAGAAAACAACTATTTGGGATTTGTCCTCGTTTTTCTTACATACTCATGGAAACATTGTATTGATTCGTCATAATCAAGATCACATCTTGATTGACTGTTGTATCCTCATGACAGACCTATATACCAATATACCAGGACAACCTCAATCTCTACACAAATTCGTGGTTATAATATGTTGTAATTCTACATTCAAATATGTTTTTTTCCTTCTAAATTGTGATTCTTGTAATACATCTATTTTAATTTTGTTTGTTTCAATTATATAGTTTGCTGTTAGGGCCGACCCTAGGAATGATCAAAGTTTTCGATGACACAGGGCCCCGAAAAAAATAGGGCCCAAAAATATCCTATTAACTTATTAACTTTATATTATATACAATGTTATTGGCGTTTTTTAAGAAAATAGTTTTAGTGCAGTTTGTTATTGGTGCGAACCTCAGTATCAAAACACCCGTTTTCGACTCTTTCTATCTTGTATTTTTTTATTTTTTTTTTCTAGTTATTTTTGTTGGTGATATATATGCATATAAACTAATAGGAACAATTTTCTCTACAACTCTTAGTGTAGCTTTGATTGGTAAGTGTTTATTTGCTTTTAGGATGACACCTAAGTTTGATTTTTATTAGGCTTTATTTTGTTGTATTCCTTTTTAATATATTCCAATAACATTATATACAATATTCATGAAATTTCTATATAAACCATTTTTTTTTTTTTTTTTTCATCAGGGCCTAAGATAGGTCATGTTTGTTGTTGATTGTATACCTTTTCCATAACATTCTTGTTACCAAGATAAAACTAACAAATGTGAAATTAACTTTCATTTGCCAAAATTTTCCCAGACTCGAATTAACCTTTAATTAAGGGTATTATAAATACTTCTATAATCATAAGTTTTAGATAATTTTTCAAATTAACCTTAAGTAGATGATAAATTGCGTTTCAGATAGTTTATGTACTACCAAAATCCTCAGGTTTATATTAATACATGAAAGCCTATGAACAAAGTTTACATTTTAAGAGCATATGATATGGGCAACGAGAAATGTTATTATTGCTGATGTGACACCTTATAACCTACTCATAACAAGATGAACACCCCCCCCCCTCCTTTCTTGTTGTATCTAGTTGTGTTGCTTCTTGTTGTGGTCATTACTAGATGAAACGTGATCTTCTATTGGCTGCACAAATTCTCTCTCTCTATCTCTCTCCTCTTAACGGGTGTTATAACATGATGAGCACCACCCCCTTTTCTTGTTGCTTCTTGTTATAACACCACTTCAAGTTGCACATACCTAATAGTCTAAGGAAATCTAGTTGGCTTTGAGAAATGATGATAACAAGAAATATATTAAATATAACCATATTTAAGGTTGACTCAATAGTTAAAGGACTTTTGATAAATCATTTCAAAGGAGTTTCTCAGGTTATATTTCTATCAGTTTCAAATCTTGGGTAGTAGTACTCACATGTCTTTTGCAGGGTTTTGCATGGGTCTGGGTCAATAAAGTTGGTTCGTGTGGGATTTAGAACATGTCAAAATGGGTCGGGCCGGGTTGCGATGTCTAACACATTTATGTCCATTTTAATACTTTTATAAATCATTAATGTTATTAAATATGATTAGAGAAACCATTTTATCAAAACAATAACCTCTTTCCTTTTTAATTAAGTAGGAGACATTGTTTTTTTAATTCAGATACAACTTTTTTTAAAAATTATTTTTTTAAGAACTGAACAATTAAAAGACAAATATTAAGAGGCTATCAAAGGATTTTTGCGAAAAATTAAAGGCTACCAAACGGCATAAAAATATTGTAATAAACTAATAATGCTAATAAACTACATAAACACACTAATATAAAGAGAATTCTTACTTCTTAAAACCAAACAAGATTTCTTAAAAACGAAACCTAAAACCTTTCGATATTTCAATAATACTAAAACACCCAAAAGTTTATCATAATCTCCCCATTACGCTACAAATCAGGCTCGTTATTCCATCAACATTTCATTCATTTCAATACCTTTTTACTTTGTATTCATCTAAACGAAAACCAGTAAAATCAGTAGTATCTACTTTTTTTACCTGTACAAAAAAAGACAAAAAACCAAACCTACAAACAATGCCACCTGTCAAGACTCTTGTAACGTGACATTGCTTTCATTTTCGTGGCCCACACCAATCACACTTTGAATCCCGACAAACTTGTCACGAATATGTTGTGGCATCCCGTTTTCATCCGGATAGCTAATGTTTGACTTTGCCACGGTCAACACAAGGGCATTATCGTCATTTCCCTCTTTTAAAGATCCCGCCTTGCTGCGAAACTCTACTTCCTCGATCCCTTTTGAATACCGGGCAGCAATCTCGCCTTCTTCACCGGGGTTCGTTACATCTTCTAGAGTCAAAGCTGAGAGAGAGACAGGGGTTGACTTTGGTATTCCGAAACTACCCTTTCGGCCCAAGAAGTTGGAAACATGGTCGGTGCTGACGTGGCGCCCGAGTGGCATGATATCATTGTTGGGTTGTCGGATTTGGTATAGTACCCAAAGGCTGAAGGCTGCAAACAATGCGAACTGAAGCACGTATTTGAGCACAAGTCCACGAGGGCGATTGCTTCGTGGAGTCATCGCCAAAATGTCTATAATACCCTTCAATAATGACAAAAGTAAGAGAGCATTATGCATGGAAACCAATTATAATTAATATTTTGGAGCTATGTATATGTCCAAATAGGTCATTTTACCTACAAAAATGAAAATGTGTGCATCTTTAACATTGCTAACACTCGATATGAAATCAAACATGGTGTATGGCATTTGAGAAGAAGGAAATAAAATGAGTCAATGACAAAAATAGCCCTCCAAACGTTGTTGATGGAAAAAAAAAAAATAATGCAATGAAAGTGAATTATAAGAGATGAAATGAAATTGCAAATAAAGGGGTTCAAGATTTGTTGTTAATGCACATTTCATTGAATCTTGGATGCGATGTACTTATAGATGGATGTTTTTTTCATCAAAATTGTATTCCCCCTTTTTACTCATAACCAAATTTTGTTTCTGAAAAAGCGTACATGAAAGCATTAACTCATAAAACCACCATTTTCACAGCATAAATTCACTTTCTTTATTCATTGTTCTTATTTCATTAATCCATCGAGGTGTTTTTACAAGAAATGAAACCAAAAGAACGAAGATAACCCACATAATATGAATACATACTTGTACATATACACACACATGCAAGTAAATGAACAACAAACTGATGCAAGAAACTAAAAGATCATCACAAAAACCTTCATCAAGCATAGGGTATTAGGAATTGAATCAGAATTGTATAAGATTTCAATTCGGCCTCGATTTTTATAGAACTTTCCAAGGAATTAAACCAAAACCCTAGACTGAGTATACGCCGATACAGCAAAACCCCGAAATGAAAACCAGAAACAATATACATACCCAGTAATATTCGAACAAAACCCAGCATAACGATCACAGAATCTTGAAAACTAGACGCTGAAAGTATTAAAAAGCTGAAGATTGAAAGAAACTTTACCTTTGGAATACGAATCGAATCGAATATGATCAGACGGTTGCTTCTGAAACCAGAGGTTCTTCTCCCAAAACCCTAATCGAAATTCAATCAAGAATACTTGGTATCGATTATCAAATCTTTTGGGAAATTGGTGTTCTTGATTCCTCCCCTTTCTTTTTCTTTCGTTTTGAATTGAGAGTGAACTTTTTTGAGATTGACACTTAAAAGAAAATGATGGAGGCGTGAAGGAAAGGAAAAAATGGTAGAGAAGTCAGCGGTTAGGCAGTTGTTCCTGAAAGTACGAAACTACCCCTACGAGGATTTTGGATTATGAGGTATTCAGGTGCAAAGATTTAAAGATGTAGAGGGTGAAATTGGAAATGTATGAAAGGACGTGACTGAATTGTGCCGGCGGTGATGGCTAAAAAGAGGGGTCATGGACGTTGACTTTTTAAACAAGTAGGCAAATTTTGACTAAATAATAAATACATAAAATTGGAAGTTGAATTTTAATATTTTTATAATATATAGAAATGTTTTTTTATTAATATATTGTTTTAATATAATTAATTTGCATTAAATATTTTGATTAGAATTGAGTAGAAATAAAAAATTAGAATTGAGTAGAAAATAATTTAGCTAATACAGTATAGAAAGATAATTATCCACCATCTTATTTTTTTTATTAAACTATAAGCATAATGTAGATAAATGTTACTTCAAGTATAGAGTGACCAAAATATCTTATCTAAACAATTAGAAAGGATGAAATGTGTTTCATTAAAAAAAAAGTTTTCTTATGATTTGACATGAATACTACGACAATAAAAATAGAAACAATAAAAACGTGATTACAACAATAATCGTTGTATATACTTACAAAACTGAATTAAATGTTTGAGCTTTATTGAATAATTAATTCTGTTTTAATATAATTAAGAATTTGTAATTAGTAAATAGGGTATTTTAAGCTATGTTTTAAAAACCAGTTTTTTAGTTGAACCGGTATGATGACCAGTTCTCCGTTCAATCGGTTTAACCAGTTCGACATGATAATACAATATATGTATATATATTATAGTCTCAAAGATGTATATGGTAATTCAATATATGTGTAGCATATATTACCAAATTAACCCAACACACAGACACATACATAATATAGATATTGAATCTTGAAAAGTGAACCTCTAGCAATCACATGTTATCAAGTTCCGAAGTCAGCTGAGTCCGAAATAAGAAGAAATTTCTAGATGAAGGCTAATTCCGAGATCAACAGACTGTTCAAGCATTTAATGTATTTTGTCATATTATTGATGTAACATTTCATAGGACTTATTTTATTGTATCTTTTAGATATCAGTTTGTCAAAGATTGATTATTATCCAGTCCTAGGAATGTATCTCGGTTTGTACTATGTTCCTCCTTGGTATATAAAAGGAGTGAATGATTGACAAGAAAAACATGTGTTGCTACTCCAAAGATAGCATATATTCGTTTTACCTCATATTCACTTTTCTTTCAAGTCAAGATCTTTCATAACATTCTTCTTGTTTCTTAAATGTCTTTGCACTGATTATACTCTAAGTTCTCTTCATTTATTACTTGTGTACTTTGTTGAATATTTCATTCAAGTCTTAACTGGTATTATTAGATTTGACTGGAACTATAAAATTAAGAACAGACGTTGATATTAAAGATTAACTCAAGGTTTGAACTCTCAAACCTTGTCCTTGCACATTGAATTCTTGTTCTCACAATTGGTATCAGAGTTTGAGTGGTTGTCATTTGAATCCATAAGAACATATTATAGTTGATTTGAAATTACCGTGGTAATTCAGTCATTTCTGTGTTCAGGATAAAAATTCTTCTATATACCACTTCTGCTCTAATATCTTAACCTCAATGGCTGCTCCTAATTCTCAACAAATGTATTCAATGCAAATAGCAAATAGTGTCGGTTGCCCTTCTCGTGCCCCAATGCTAGTTGTTGAAGAGTATGATCACTGGAAAGTAAGAATGGAAAGGTTCTTACATGGTAAAGAAAAAGGTGAAGAAATATGGAGATCCGTGAAAGAAGTTCCATGTGTTCCGGTCAGACAAACCGTAAGAGATGTTGCTGTAACTCTCTTGGGCCAAGATGAAAAGCGGAAGACACCTCTCACTGCTGCCGACATAGAAAAACTTCATGCAGACCAAGTTGCATTTTCCGAGATGGTGTTTGGTGTTCCTCCTTCTATCTTTGAGCACATTAAGTTGTGCAAATCTGCTAAAGAGATTTGGGACACTCTCCAAGACCTGTTCGAGAGATCATAAAACATGAAGGATAAACGATTGACTTCGGTCGTAAACGAGTTCGACACTTTCACCACAACTCCAGGTGAATCAGTTGGCTCAGCATCCAACAGATACCGAATCGTCGTCAACAACGTGTTTGCTTATGGGATTGTCCGAACTCCAATAGAATACAATCTCAAGTTCATCAATAGTCTTGGTAAAGGATGAGGAAACGTGAAATCTTGTCTTCAGAGTAATGGATCTCCGAAGAAGCTGAAGCTTTACCAACTGTTTGATGAGCTTCAATGACATGAATCAAATGTTGCTCAAACATTGAGAGAACTCTTAGGAGGTCTTCTAGCTCTTGTTAGTTCTTTTGATTCTCAAGTCTCAAACCCTTCTGTTTCGGACCCTTTCAAAACTATTATTCCATCCATTCCATCGGTTCAACCCTCTCCACCAACCTTACCTGTTCTTGCTAATTCTAACTATCATTTTGATGGTGACATCGATACTGAAGCAATGGACTCAGAACTTCGCTTTCAATAAGAATTTGCATAACTGTCCATGAAATACAAGTGGCCATGGAACCCCACTCACAAACCATACCAAAACCGTTTCCAAGCTCCTCATCAAAGTAATCCCCAACCATTTCCCAAACCCTCAGAAAATCCACCTGCCTACAAGCCAAACATCTCGACACCAAGTCACTCCTCGGAATCCCATGAGATTCCGAAGTCAGACAAGCCAAAGGTCGTTTGTCACAAGTGTGGTCATGGAAATCACTTTTCCAAAGACTGTGTGGCTGAAGCCACACAAAAACCTAAGATCAAAGACTATGCTTACTATGCCCACCGAGCCCAAGAAATGGCTGCAAGTGAAAAAGCCTTCGTTACCACTGTGTCAAGAGATGTGGAAGGATATTGGTCATCTGGAGATGAAGATGATGTGAGTTCTGGAAGAAACATGTGACTTATGACTAGACAGAAAATCGAATGCGATGAAGGCTACTGGTCATCTGGATCAGAAGGAGATGATGAAGATGTTGAACCAAATTTCTGCTACATGGCAACCAATGATCCACCAGGTCGAAGCGTCGTTCAACAGGTAAAATCTATGATTACTGATAATAATTTTGATTTATCTCGTTGTGAACCATATCTAACCAAGATCCAATAAGATATGAACATCATCTAAAAAGCCTATGAGTCTTCCATAGAAGCAAATGAGAAGATGGAAAGTGAATTGAGTCGTCTTAAGTTACGTTTCGAGGATAGGAAGCTTAAAATAGATACGTTAGAGCGTGGACTTGTAATGTCACAAGATGAATGTATCATTCTTAAAGACAAATATGAAATCACTTATTCTGAAAAGAATGTTTTAATTTCTGATAACAAACTTCTGAATGCCAAAATTGATGCCTTACATCATGCCATAGACATTCTTGAAGCCACCGAACGGATGACTCATAATTTTCGTCATCCTTGGTCCAAAGCACCTGGTCTCAGAAGCGAGTTTCCGAAACCAATTGCTCGTCCCTTGAAGGGGTTACAAGATCTAACTTTTATGGGAGATGTTCCGAACCACACATATTCGGATACCCCTGTCTCACCAATGTCACCCCTTCATGAGACCTCAAATCGGTATTCCTTTTTGATTCCTGAGTTTCAACCCATAGTTTTCAAGTTTCCTGATTCCACGCCTCTTCCGCCTCTGATGCCCCTGGACCTAAATCAGACCTCGGAATCCCTCCCAAGTATCACTCATACTGTAGTTCAAGTTCCAAACCATAGTTCTCCTAACAATTGTGTTGTTGAGGAAATAATTCCATAGACAACTGGACCTAACTTAGATAAATCAGATTTTGTCTGGGCATCTTTTGATAGTGACGTAGAAGAAGAGATCTTAGTAGATTATTCATTTGACTCTTGTGTTTCTGATTCTCAAGTGATTTCAAAAACAACCTTAGTGCCAATCAAGCCTACATTTAACAACCCATCTGCACGCCAAATTTCCAAGTCATCAATTGAATCTAAAAATGCTCTCAAAAAGGAAATTAGGTCAAGACAGGATTTCAGATTCACTGAAAATTCTAAGAAGAAAGTATCTCGGAATATGAGCCCATCCACTAGGAACCACAACACATTTGTGCCTGTTAAGATCCTTAAGAGGCCTTCTAATCCTCCTAGTTTGATAGCTCAAAAAAAGGTTGTTAGTCCTATTCTCAAAAAGACTGTTGTTGATATTCATCCCACCAATACTAACTCTTCTTGGATAGTTTCCACTGTGTTCATTGCTAAATCTGATGGTATAATTTTCAAACCACAACTTTCAAAACCAAATGTGCCATCAAAAGTAGCAAACAAAGAACGAGTTGCAAAAAACACTGTTACTCAAAAAATTTCAAATAATTCAAACCAAAATTTTGAGTGGAAAGTTAAAAATGTCAAAAAAGAAACTGAAACTCCAAGTGACACCGTGATTCCTACAGCTTCAAAAACTGTTGGTCCAATAAAAGTTGTTTCCAAACAACCTGTTGTTGAATATTATTTCTGGATCAATGAGAAGACCATGACCTTCTTCTTCTTTCCAAAAGGATCTCGGAATAAACCTTCCGAATCATTTGTTGCTCCAAAGTCACAACCTAAGTCCAAAGTCGTGCCCATGTCCTAAAATCTAACTCGGGGCCTAAAAACTCCAGAATTCGCTAATTTTTGCAGGTACTATGTGCTTCAGAACAAGATACAATATGGTATATTGATATTACTTGTTCCATGCACATGACGGGGCAGAAATATTTTCCGTGTGATCTCAAACTCTCATCAAATGCTGGCTATGTGACGTATGACAAAAACTCCAACTCTCAGATCCGAGGTTATGGCATCCTCACCAATGGTAATTTCTTTATCTCAAATGTGGCATATGTAGCTGACCTGAAGCACAATCTGATAAGTGTGGCTCAACTTACTGATTCCAACCGACGAGTTGAGTTCTGCAAAAGACATAGCTACGTCATGATAGAAGACCGGAAAGAAAGTATCATCAAATCGAATCGCAACAAGAATATGTATCCTCTAGATATCAACATGATCATTGGCAAACCTCAACTCTGTTTACTCTCAAAAGCCATTCCTGACGTTAGTTGGTTATGGCATCGGAGGCTTGCTCACTTAAACTTCCGATATATGAATGATATTGTTTCCGGTGAGATGGTCAGAGGATTGCCACTCCTTAAGTTTGAAAATGATCATTTGTGTGCTGCGTGTGAATGTGGGAAGCAATCCAAGAAAGGTCATCCTGTTATCATTGAAAAATCAATTTCGGAACCATTAGAACTCCTTCATATTGATCTTTGTGGACCTTCCACTGTAGAAAGTCTACATCACAAAAAGTACATTGTGGATGATTTTACGAGGTTCACTTGGGTCTTCTTCCTCAGGCCGAAATCTGAGACAGCCTTGGAACTTATCAGCTTCATCAAAGGAATTGAAATTCTTGTCAAACTACCGGTAAGACGGCTCCGAAGTGATAATGGCTTGAAATTTACTAATTTCTCCATTGAGAAATTCCTCTCCGACAAAGGCATTAACCATAATTTCTCAGCTCCCTACACTCCTCAGCAAAACGATGTGATTGAAAAAAGAAACAGAACTCTCGTTGAAGCTGCTCGATCGATGCTCAACTTTGCAAATCTTCTGCTTTATCTTTGGGCTGAAGCCATGTCCACAGCCTGCTTCACTCAGAATTGAAGTATCATCAATCGACGCCTCAACATGAAACCATATGAAGCAATGAATGGTCATAAGCTGAGTATTTCATTTTCCATGTTTTTGGCTGCTGGTGTTTTATCAAAAACAACCGTGATCAACTAACAGAGTTTCAACCCAAAGATGATGAAGCAATCTTTCTAGGATACTCCACAAAATCGAAAGCTTACCGAGTTCTGAATCGTCGGACTCGTGTTCTTGAAGAAAGCTTTGATGTCATATTTGATGACAATTTTGTTCGGAATTCTGGCCCAACCCGTGTTACAACTCACATCATGGAGTCCGATGCTCCATCGCCAGGATGTCCGAATCCTCAAATCATTCATGAAGTTGACTTTGAAACCCTGTTCGGACCATCAGAAATAACTCTTGATTCGGAATCTCGATCAAGACCATCCTCAACTGCAGCTCAAACTTCACAACATGTTTCTGGTCCGACCCCCACCTTTCCTCCATTTGATTCTGAACCAATTCAACCTTATGAGGTTGAGGGGGAGAATGGTTTTTCCTCTCTTGAATCAAATGTTGATGGTTTCCAAGATGCAGCAGATCAATTCGCCAAATTTGATCCTATTCCGAACAACAACGAATGTGATACCAACTTCTACGATTTTCTGATCGAAGACGAAGTAGATATCTCTGGTTCAGAAGTTCAGGGGGAGCATCAACCTCTAATTCAAACTATTCAGGGAGAGCA